ATTGGGCTGCCAGCATTGGGGTCAGCAGTTCATACCTATCAGATGCTATATCACATGTCTACTCCTGTAAAAATTTACAGTCTCTAATAAAACTATTAATAAATAAATAAATAAATATAGTCTCTAAAACTGTAGGGTTGCTGTGAGTCGGAACTGACTCCATAGCAGTGGGTTTCCTTCCCAATTTAATTATGACCGTGTAGCTTTAGGCTGATGGGAAAGGTCTGTGGTTCAAATCCACCAGCTACTGACAGAGAGAAGGATGAGGCCAGCATCTCCATTAGAGATTCACAATCTTGAAAAACCCAACGAACTCTTCTATTTCAACCTATAGTGTTGCTGAACCTATAGTATTGCTGTGAGTCAGAATTGGCTGATAGCAGTGGGTTGGTTTATAACTTAAAAAACTAACCAGCCCCCAAACAACTTTTTAAATGTTTATTATCTCCAATCAATAAGATGTACCCCCACCCAACTTTGTAGCCACTACCAAAATGTTAAATCAATAACTGAATTTTCTTGACACAATTGATGTATGTATGGATTGTTATAAGAGCTCTAAGAGTCCCCAATAAAATGATTAAAATAATAATAATAATGGAATTTTCATTGAAGTCCTTGTATTTTCGTATATAATCTTCCTAAACTGTCTTTTCCTTAAATCACTTAGTTCAGAATCCTTGGCACTTTGTATTACCAATTTGGAAATCACCTTGCCTTTCAATAAAAGTTCTTTACTTTTAATTTCGAAATTAAAAAATATAAAGTGAACTAGAGACATATACAAACTGTAGATGTATGAATGGATTTTGGGCTCAAAAAATTCTAGCCTCAAAGTAAGAACAATTAGTTCTTATCCTAACTTCTTTTTTTAAAAATTCATTTTATTGGGAGCTCTTACAGATATAACAATTCATTATTCAATTAGCTTAAGCATACATTGGTTCAAACATCTTGCTTTTGGTGTTGCCCAATAATAGACAAATTAAGACTACTATATATTTTACACTTTCATATTTTATTAGCTTCCTTCTATTCCTATTTTATTAAGTGTTTTTTAAAAATCAAGAATAGATGTTGAATTTTATAGAGTGCCTTGTCTTCCTCAATTGATACGATTATGTTTCCTTTTGTTTTGTTTAGCTGATGAATTACTTTGATTGCTTTTCTAATATTGAATCATCCTAGAATACTTTGTATGAATCCAATAGGACACGATGAATTTATTAAATGTTTTGTTGAGGTCTGTTGACTAGACTTTTACTGAAAATTTTCGTGTCTGTATTCATTGGTGTATAATTATCAGGGTTATACGTGCTGCATAAAATGACTTTTGTTGTATATTACCCTTTATTATATACTGAAATTGTATGCGTATGGTTGGTGTTAACTCTTCTCTAAATGATTCTTAGAATTTCCTAGTAAGATCAGCTGGTTCCAGACATTTTGATGCTGAGTTGTTTTTTTTTAACAATCTCTTAATTTTTGTGTTATATGTCTGTACAGGTGTTTTACATCAGTTTGTGTTAGCCTAGGTAGGTAATATGCTTCTAGATTTTTTCCATTCTTGTCTAGATTTTCAAATTTAGGGGAATATAATTTTTCATAATATTGTGTAATTATCTTTTTATTTTGGTTGATTCTTTTGTGATGTCACCTGTTTCATTTTTATTTGTAACATTTGCTTTTTCTCCTTCTTTTCCTTTGATAGGTTTAGAAGTGGTTTGCCACTTTTATTAATCCTTTCAAAAAACCAATTTCTTGTCTTATTTACTTTTTCTGTTTCCAGATTTATTTATTTATGCGCTTATCTTTATTATTTCTTTTCTTCTTGTGTGAGAAGTTTGGTTTTGCTGGCATTTTCCCTAATTGTTGTAGGTGATGTGTTCAGGTTTTTATTTTAAGTCTTTCTTCCTTGTTGATGTATGTACTTATTGCTATAAATTGCCATCTGAGTACTATGTTTGCTGTGTCTCAGAGATTTTAGCATATTATACTTTTGTTAGTGTTTGTTTCAAGGAACTTAAAAATTGTGTTCTTTATTTCCTCAATTATCCAGTGCTTATTAAGCAAAGTTTTGTTCAATGACTATGAAATTGATTTTTGTTGTTGACTGTCCGATTATTGATTTATCATGTTATAGCATTGTGATCTGAAAAGAAATAGTTTGCAATATCTCAATGTTTTCTTTTCCAGACCCGTTCCCATTATCTCAATGTTTGAAAGGTATTGATGATTGCTTTGTGGACTAAAATATGATCTGCTCTGTAGTATGTTTGATAGGTACTAGAAAAAATGTATATTGTATTGTTGAAGGGTGAAATTTCCTGTATAGCTCTAAGAAACCAAGTTGTTAAATTGTGTTAAGTTCTTTTTTTAAAAAAGAAAGCATTTTATTGGGAGCACTTACAGATATTATAACAATTCATAATTCAATTACATTAAGCATAATTGTAAAATTGTTGTTGCCTGATAGTG